AATAGAATGAGTAACAAATGTGTGGGGAGTTGGCCACATGGAGGATCTTGTCTAAGGGCTGGCTAAATTGAGAAGCAAGAGAGTTAGATAAGAGATGAAGCAGATGTGATGAAATGTGAAAGAGCCTGGAACATCCAAAGAAGAATACACCAACCAGAGGAGTTGATGGATCCATACAGTAAGGGTAGAAGGTGAGAGGTTCCTGGTTGAAGAGGGGACCCAGGGAATAAACAAACAATAGTAGGGACCCCTAAAGGGAAAGTTTGTGCCAAGAAACACCAAATAATTTGAACTGGACAAAAGAGTGGGGCTAAGTGAGAACGATCATAGAAGGAAGGGAGGCAGGGGAGAAAAAATGGTCACCCTCCCAAGAAGCTGAAGGGTTAGGAAGAAAAAATTGGTTCAAACAGAGAAGTAAAGAAATGCAGGGGAATACAGTTGGAGAACCATCAATAGTATATATACTTAAATGATGGCAACCAGAAGTTACAAGAAGAAGGAAGGAAGTCATAAGAGAAAGAAGGTAGAGAAAGCAAGAAGCCATAGGCTTTAATGGGGTACATGTGAGAGGGTGTAACACCACATCAAGATCCTAGTGTAGCATGGGAGTCAGGTGAGGGGGGGGGGGTTGGCAAAGAATAAAAAAGATTAAAATAGAGTGGAGAGGACAGGAAAAGAAAACTCTGTTTTAAATAGAAAGATCAAATATATTGGATAAGGCTACCCAATAACCAGCATTGGTGGAGACAGACAAACCATGGTCGAACAACCAAGTAAAAACGATAGAAAGGTGGGTCACAATAGGATGACTGGGATGAACGAAGTGGTGGATGGATCAATGATGACAAACTGTCACGAAGTGGAAGAGTGACAGAAATAGGATAAGAAGAAGGCTACAAGATTGGATAGTCCAGCTCTAAGGATGAAGGTTTTGTTTGTTTGTTTTTTTTAATTTTGCACAAAGCTACACGAGGGCTATCTGCGCTAGCTGTCCCTAATTTAGCAGTGTAAGACTAGAGGGAAGGCAGCTAGTCATCACCACACACTGCCAACTCTTGGGCTACTCTTTCACCAACAAATAGTGTTATTGACCGTCACATTATAACACTCCCATGGCTGAAAGGGTGAGCATGTTTGGTGGGATAGGGATTTGAACCCGCCACCCTCAGAAAGGGTGAAGGACCAAACAAATCCTACACATGGAAATGAAGGGATGATACCCTTGGATGAAAAAGGGATGTGTGTGGTTGAAGTAATAGAGAGAGATAACAAGTAGAGAAATCCAGGTATGAGCTGCCTAAAGAGGCACTACCAAGAAGATCTAACAAGGAGTGTTGCATATCATGGCAAGGGCCAAAACGAGGAGTCCTAAAGGAAGATAGGCATACAGTAAAAGATGAATAACCATGATGCCAGTCCTGGCTTAGAGCATCAACAGCCAGAGCCAAAGGATGAGGAACTGGAGACCAGAAGAGAAGAAGCTTGAAACTGAAAGGAAAAGTAAAACCAATGGAAACCCCAAGGGTAGAGAGACCACACTGTAGGTAGAATGAGGTCCAGCCAAGAGAGGTGATCTGTCCCCAGGTTCAAAGTCCACAGCATATGACATGTGACAGAACAAATTCCATGGGAAAGAGTCTAGAAGAGGAGATCCAATGCCAAAAAAGCAAAAAGTCCTGGAGCGAGTGTCTCCCCCCTCAATGGATGATATGTGACACAACTGTGGAATTGTTGGAGTAGATCATGTCCAACAGATCTACCAGAAGATGTAGGAAATGAAAACATATCTGATGAACAGAGTTAAATTCAAGTCCATTTATATGAAATGAACTCTTCCTGTGCCCAAATGTGAGAAGACATGGTGTTGTTCAGAGATGTACCCCAACCCAAAAGGGAAGCAATTGTGAAGAGATGTAGATCTGGTCAGGGGAGTGGTAATCGAATGCCAATCGTAGTATTGACACGGTCTAGCCACCAAGACAAGTCTTTGAGAAGAGGATAAGGGAAGTTCACAATTAAGAACAACTGATCCCAATAAATATTCCACTGTTTTTGCAAGATTCACTGAAGGAAGTGCATATGTACATCCTAAAGCAATAAGTGATTCCTGAGAAACCAGAGTATCCAAATGTGAAAGGATCTCACATACTAAACAAAAATGAGAAACACAAACCACAGTGACCAGACCTTCCATAGCTTGCAGGCAAAGAGGTGAAGGCTGAACCTGACTGAGATGAGAGTACAAGAAAACACCCATATGTACTAAAATCTGTGTAGGCATGATAAAGGACTTGGAAAACATGACAATTAGTCCCAACCAAGCAGCCTCATGCAGAAGAAGGGATGAGTGAGAGAAGAACATCTACCAAGAATGAGCAAGTAGAAGCCATTCAACCAGGCAGAAATGGAAATACAGCCCCAGTCTGTGAGAGTAGCGAGTGAAGGCCGTCATGGATTGATTGAAAACATAATGGGTTGAAGCCACACTGAAGGGAAGAGCATTTAATAAGATGGAATGGATGAAATGTAAAGAAAAAACATTTGGAGGGTGGGGTAAATGAGATATATAGGTGTCCAATATGCCTTACTTGGTCACCCATAGACCAGGTGAAAAAGACCAGTGGAGAGGAAAGAAATTCTCCAGCTGGAACCATGGAATGACAAGACACCAGTTTAGAGATGAAGGATCAATAACCAGACACCAGAGTAAAACATCTATAGAGAGAGTGTATACTCTCTGTATGGCATGTTTGGTGAAAATGTTAGAGACCAAATCCATGCTGAAGATAAACAGAGTTGGAGGAAGGAGAAAAGGAAATGGGAAGACAAAAGAGGGGATGAGAGAGACCATGAATGAAAACATGAAAAACCCATCTCTCAGTATAAAACTGACACCAAACCCTAGTTAAGTGGACAAACAGGCACCCACAGGGCCCGACCCAACAGGATATCATTGATGAGATAAGCAACAAATCAGGTGTCAGAAAGACAGAAAGAAGAGGAAGATCTGGAAACTATAATTAGAAAGGTAGTGATAGACTGATCTTGCCAAGAGTTGAAGGGCACGGTTGAGAAAGAGAAGAAACTAGGGAAGATAATGAGGACTGACGCTGGTCTACTTCCACTCAGGTCTACAATGAAACAAACATTACCAAAGACTTTCAGGCAAAGAAAAGGAGCCTGATAAATATCAAGGAGATGTGAAAGAAGGTGCAGGCATACATTAGTGAGCGGCACATCTTGACCCAAGAAGTTCTAGCAGCAGAGGAATCAAGTAAAAAGGAACAAAAGAGAAGATGTGGTACAGGCTAAAATGGTAGAGAGAAGGGAACAAACCTATCCAGAAAACCCCAGTGAAGCACAATGAAATGCCTCAAACAAAAGGTGCAGAGAGATTGTAAGAGAGTGGTGAAGAAAAGAAGAAGACATTAAAAACAGGGAACTAGAGAGTGAAATAGAGGACAAAGGGTCCACTCCTCAAGCAGGCAAAAAGAGATTCTAAAGACTGGGAATCTAGAAAAGGAAAGGAAAAATTGCTGGTGGCCAGGACAAAGGAGTCAAGAATACGAGGAGAATGAAGCATGTGAGTATGAGTATGGAAATGTTTGAGAAAGGAATCAGTATGAACCCTAATATTAGGTGAGGGAGGAAGAAAATATTATCCCAAAAACTGGTTTCCTGGAGTAAAGAGTGGAAAGAATCAAAAGACACATGCCAAAGAAGAAATATAAAACATACCTGAGAAATCACATCCCGAAATAGATCAGAAGCTTGAGGATTTTCCCCAACCAGTAACGCAGTACCCAAAACAAACCAAAGTGGGGAACAGTCAGCGAAGTTTGTTGTCCTGCTGGTCATTCACAAACTGAGAAGAAAGGATGCTAACCAAAGGGACAGGATTGGAGGAGGAAAAGTATGCATGAGGGAACCCACAACACACTGTACAATAGCTGTAACATCCTCAACAGTCAATGAGCCTCCAGAAGCCATAGTAGAAATCACCGTCACTTGAGAATTCATTAGGTTAATGAATGCTTTTGAAATAAAAACAAAGGCAGAATGAAAACAAAAGTTACATTGAAAATTGCAAATCTCAGTAGACTTTAAAAAAATTAACATATTTCTTCAAGGTAATGCTGAGGAAAAGAATGAAGTTATTTCAAGTGCAAGTGCTTAAGGGAAGTTAATGCATATGGAGGTTGTGTCCCTTTCTATTGGTAGAGGGCTATTGTTGCATGATGATGTCATCAGGAACCAGCACAGTTCACATTGATGTGAATTTTAAGGGAGATTAGTTTAAGGCTAGTGGCATGCAAGTTTCATAGACAGATGCATAAAGGATATAACTATTCTGTCTTGGAAGCATAAATTTTATCAATAATAATTACATTTAATATCTTAGTTTTATCTAGGGAATAAATCAATCACAGCTCGATTAAACCAAATCAGACTACAAGTTTGGCAATCAAAAACAAAACTTTTTTGTTATTTTTATGCAAATGATTCAACAAATAATGTTTAAAAAATATTTAAGAACTTTACATGATATTATTTAATTACGAAGAAAGGTCAAACTTAAAATATATATATACTTAGTCTTATGAGGCAAACATTATTTGAATATATTACTTAGTCAGTACAAAAATTAAAAAATGGCCAATACCTACAAATTTTAATTGAAAGACATTCAACTTGATTTCAAATATAACTTATGTAATCTTAACCAAGAAAGTCAATATTACAAAAATTATACCCATAATAGACAAAAAATGTAGGTACCTAAATGATGAAAAAAAGACCAGATTTATACATGAAATATTAGAATAAAACAAAGCTCTGGAATATATTTTAATTTAAAAATGCATTCTGCAAAAGTGAGTTCTATCATTAATTTTTTTAATACTGCATTTTTAAAAAAACACAAGCAAATATATGATAAGATATATTTTTTTTTATTGTTTTGTAATGATAACAGGTGTTTTAGAATAATTTTTGATTACCTATCTGGGTGACTCTCTGCAATAAGTTGTTTAGCAACATCTCCTAACTGTTTGACTGTAACTGCATAATCCTCAACAGCATTTTCCAGGGTTTCATGTTTTTTCATTAGGTTCTGAGCACTGATTTCATCTTTACCACGATCATCTACCATCATGTACAACTCCTGTTCACTCATCCAGACTTCTGCTTCAGATGCATCAAAATAATACTGCAAACATACAAGGACAATTTGAATACTTGGTAATAATTATAAGGTACTGACACTTCCACTCACTTCACATACAAAAAAATTCATTAACTGAATACCAATTTTGTGAGAAAAAATAAAATTATTTAATTCAAACTAAGAATATTAAAAATTTTAATCCTATTACAAAATATTTAGTTAAACATATCTCAGAACATTAGCACCTTTCAAAAATGATATTAAAACATATACTTAAAAATATATTGTTTAATACACCTTAGAACTGAACAGAATTTGTAAAAGCAGATGGGCAATCAGTCTTGGATGACAAAAAAAACAGAAATAACTACAGACAATCTGAAAATTAGTAAACATATTCAAAATACTATTGCTTACAACAAATAAAGATACCATACAACCAATAATTTGGAGTAATAAGCCGTTTCTTCTTTTCAGATGCTGTGATTTACACAATGATATTTCTAATGTTACAAAACATATATATATGTACCTGGTGTGCTTTTTCAGATTCTTCCAGTTTATTTCTACGAATATCCATTGCATTAATTAGTTTTTGCCATAAATCAAGAAGCTCTTCAATAAGTTTCTGGAATTCTTCAGCAGCTTCATGGCCTTCTTCAATCAGCTTTTGCCCATTTCCACAAACATTCATAATTCTTGGCTCGTGATTATCTATCTCTGTACGAAGTGACTAAAAAAACAAATGAAAGTATAAGTTCTTTACTTGTTTAAGATTAAATTAAAAAATAGTACAAGTTTTAAGGATCTCCATATAAAATAACTGACTACTGACCACACAAAGCAAACACTTGTTTATCTACATACAAATTGGCTCAACAATAAGGAAGTTTTAATCACACACACATATATACTCAGTTACAATTACTGCAAATTACTGATCAAATATCTGCATAAAAATTTCTTCAATAATAAATTCATGAAAAGATTAATTACCTCTGAACAAAGTGATTGACTAAAAATTACCTCAAAATATCATATTGTATAACAAGTACAAAGAATCAGTTGTGTACGTACAAAGAAACACTTACAGTTAAACAAAACTATTAGAATGAACAATAAATGTAGAAAAGGTTCAGCTGGCTATGTATAAAATAACTGAAAAACAAACACAGAAGAATACTAATTATCCAAAAAAAATTTACATTTCATATTATAATCACAAAAGAGAATAAACATTTGCATAATTTTAACTGAAATTTTCATTCATTGAATCAATATATCATTCTTTTATTATTCATATAAATATATTGGTAACTAGTTTTAAATATAAAATATTATATTAGAAATTAAGATGATGAAGACAAGAAATACAATAGAAAAAATCTTATTTCATCTTTTGTTTTAAACAGCAAGATTTAACTGTAAAATTTAAAAAAAAAGATAAAATGGATTTCCAGCATTTTGTTTTCCTCAGATGCCCATAAAGTTTAGTTCAAAAACTTGAATTTGGGGTATACAATTACAATAATTCATATATAGCAATGAAAAGAAAAAGAATTAGTCATGTTTCAATCTCACCTGGTACTTCTTTTTTAACATTTGCACACTAAAAAGACTGTTTCCATACTCAGCTGAGAGAGCCAATGGGATCTTCTCTTGTACCCACAATTTCTCATCCTCCACATCCCTACGAAACTGATAGGCTTCCTTCTTCTTCAGAAGCTGAGATTTCCTTTCTTGTAAAGGAGCTTCAAGCCGTTGAAATCTGTGATCATACAACTATGTTTTAAATATCATTTGAAAATTAGGTTTAATTATATACATTTTTCAGCACTGTTAATCTCAAAAACATTAGTTTTAAAATTGATTTTACAAATTCCTGAACATTTATCACATTAATTTCATATATATGCAATTATTATGAATAATAAAAACTTCTACAGCTTTAGTTAAAACATATGGTTTAATTAAATATAGTTTAAAGTACACCAACTTCTCTTTTAAATGTTGTAAAGTTAAATCACTATATGTACTCCTGTTGTGAGCCCAATCAAGTAAAAAAAAAGTATAAAACAAGGTTGACATCAGATATCTCTTTCAGTAACCATGTCCATTTTGTCTTGCCCTGAGGGAAAAATTATACCAGTGAATTGAAAAAATTACAAGGAACTTATTTGAACTTGTACTTAAGAACTTAATTTTTTAAATAATACTATAATATTAAGTTGTTTCTACTAAATTATTTTATTTAACCCTTTCGTGATGGGTGGGTCTAAATGCGCATGTCACGGTCTTTTAGCAAGTTATTTTCAAAATTTAGCTAAACTACTATTTGTTTATGTTATACCAATTAGTATAGCATAAAATTATAGCTAATAATCCATATGTTAATAGTATATACGATTTAAGTTATTATTCTATAAGGCAACATTTAAAAAATCCTGAATTTCCCCTAGTATGAGAAAGGTATTTTCTCTAGTTATCCACTTTTCTCTATTTTATTCACCACCCCTCCAATAAGTACAAAATTTAATGTAAATTACCCACTATAAAATCGTCTTTTCTCAGACAAACCATAATTTTATAGTCATCAAATAGAAAATCAGATCCCTCTTGCCACACCCACCTGTCACATCCTCTCTTTCAGGATTTGTTATTAATTCTCTCGTATGTTTAATTCTATATTATGTATAACCAATAGAAAGTCAAGGTTTTCATCTATCAAATGATGTATTATATTAGGTTGCTTTCTGAACAGAGAATTGTCAATTTCTCAGTCAGTACAAGCTTTGTTCCCACTGGAAAGATAACGACTAGCTTGAATGATTTTGTTGCATTGTTAGAAAGCCAGAAAAATTGTGATGGTTAGGGGAAATTTTCTGTTTTTTGCATGTTATTATTCTATGTTCTTTGGTGCATTATATAATTAAATAAAAATTAGCTTAAAAAAGTAGGGTTAAGTGTCATCTACAGGTGACAGCAAAAAAAAAAGACCAGGGTAAGTACTTTATTTCTTGCTTTTCATGCTTATTCTTTATATATACACATAGCTAAAATGTAAAATTAAGGGTCTCTTTAGGTTAGATTAAGTAAAATAATAACAATAATATAATAAAAATGTTTCATGAAGCAACATGCGAGTAGCTCGTGGGTAATTCAATGGCGTAACATGAGCTCCACATTCCCCAAATGATTCACAACTTATAATGACATGAATATAGTAGTAAGTTGTTCAAAGGGCAATCACAGAGCAACAAAACAATAAAATTTAAGTATAAATAGATGTACATTGTCACAAATTTAAAGCTACTTCGGATAAACAAATGTAGTTTCATGTTACAATCTGAAGTCATTCTAGAAAGTAAAAAAAGAGTAATTTAGATTTATCTAATTTTTTTTCTGTAGTTATGAGGTCAGTCAGATTGACCGACCATGTACAGAGTTTGGGTAGAGAAAATAACAGATAATATATAAAGTTTTACTGAAAACAAACATTTTAAATGTATTTAGGAGGTTTTTACAGATTTCATATTTCAGATTTTAGGGATGAAGAATAGTCTTTTTAATCATAACAGGAAAATCACTTCACAGATTTTAGGGATGAAGAATAGTCTTTTTAATCATAACAGGAAAATCACTTCACATTCGGACTAGTAACAAAACAGACTCAATATATTCACAAACAAATCTTCAATAAAAATAATTCATTAAAATATCTAATTTTTTTGTGTATGAAAGACTTGTACTGTTTACTAAAAGTCTACCAAATTTTGTGAAGATACACATACTGCATTAAAAGTCATAGTATAAATAGTTAATGTGTGCAAGTGTGTATACAAACTTGTGTATTTTATATTGAGCCTGTCGCAAAAGGGTTAATTATGTTTAAAGAGAAATTTAATAAAACAAGTCTAAAATATGTTTCAGACTGTAAATTAGCACTCTCTAAGGTTAAAACATTTTCTTTCAAAATTTAAAAATTTTTCCTTGCACTTTAGCACTTGTTCTACCATCTATGATCAGCATTTAAATCTTTCTGTAGTCTTTTTTTCTTCATAAAATGGCATCTGGGTGTGTTCAACCGTAGCTTTTAAAATTCTAACCAATCCTAGTCGTAAGGTGTCAATTTTGATGCCACCTCATGTTTCTCATGTTTGACAAATCATACGGTGATAACATAGGGAAGTGTGTGGTGCTTAATATAAAAATTGACGCTTTAGTTTGAGACTATAGTCAGTTTAGCACACTACCTGTTGTTACATGTCTTGAAAATCTTGCATTTGAAAAAGAAACGCATGGCAGATAGACTTTTCATGATTTTTAAAGAATCTAAAAATATGCTATATTGTTTTAACATTTATTTTAATCATTATATTGCAATTTTAACTCAAAGTAAATATAATTTTAGGAACAAAAGCTGATTCTTAAGTGTTAGGCTTAAGAATTTTTGATGGTGCGAATGCAAGGTCTTTAGAAGTGGTTTAGGCCTAGTGCTTAGAACTCAAATGTGTCTGAGTTAATCAGTGAGAAAATATCTTAAGCGGGTGTGAAATATGTCTACCACATTGAACACTATTTACACTATTGATGTGACTGTTTTATCATCACAATAGACAAACTTATGGGCATAGAATTTCCAAGCTGATAATGCATAAAAACTAAGTAAATCAAAATTAAATAATTTACTTTTCTGAAACTACATGCCTTCAGGAAAGTTACTGTCAAGTTTTAAACAATTTCATCTACTAGTTATATTTTTGGAATGAAATTTGACAAGAGCTGCGTAATGTACTTATAATATAAGTAGGCTGTGGTTAATGTGATATATTGTTTTTGTTGTAATTACATAAATTAATCATTCCTTTGATACAAATAGATTCTTGAAATAACAGTTATTTGGACTATTAAAACCATTTAGTTCTTTTGCAAAAAAAAAGTATTGATACAGACACACAGACTTAAAAAGTTTCCTCACTGCCACTTATAAAAATATGGACTCAACCCATTTCAATCTTACCTGTCTTGTACATAGACCTTCTTTTCCTGAATGTCACCACCTTTATCTGGATCCATTTTCACTAGATGCTCAGCCTGTTTTTGAAGTTCTGACACTTGTTTTGATTTTACTGCCATTTGAGTTTCTACCATCTATAACAAAGGCAAAAAAATGCATCTTAAAAAAAAACAAGGTTAAACTTTATGTGTTCTTTAACACAACGCTACATAGTGGATTATGTGCATTCTGTCCACTGCGGACAATTTAACCCTGGATTTTAGCATTGTAGGTCCATAAACTTACAGCTGACCCACCAATGGACCAGGCTCAAAGTATGCATGTATATCACCAGATTAACATTTTCCTAATCTGAAAATAGATTTCTGATAGTTAATCACCTGCACACACACACAGAAGTGCTATTTCCTTCATGCATCTGCCTATATCATTCCTATGTTTTTTGTTGTTGTTTTTCTGAAAAGCTTAATAAAAAAAATGGAATAAGAAAATTAATATTCAATATCCCTAAAAAATCTGTTAGTTATATTCCATATTTTCAAAAATATTTCCTATATCATTTTCTGATTTTTGAGTTGGCTATAAGATACTTTTACTATAAAATTTAATGATTTCTCTTTATTAAACCCTCAAACATTTATGCTATTTAAAGAACTGAAGTAAGCAATAAACTGAATAAAGGTTCAGCTTATATGAGTATTTACATAACATTATGAAAACATAATGAGCATTTTGTTGAAAAGGGAAAAACAGTTTAACTCTTTCCAGATGGGTCATGGGTCAAAGGCCATGTCATCGCGTTTCTCGACTCGCATTCAAAATTTTATTGAACTACTATTTATGTCAATAAGTGTGATATCAAACTGTAGATTATAATTTAAATTTTAATATTATACATGATTCAATTTCTTAATTTAAAAGTAAATAAAAAAAACAGTTAAACATCGATTTTTGTGTGTCACGTGGTATGTTGAATGGTGCATTGGTTCAAATTAAATGTTTGTGATGTTAAAATACTAAGTCTATAGTTTCATACAAATTAGGAACTCAACTTACCGATATTTATAAGCTAGAAAATAAAATAAGAACCTCATATCTTTTCTATTTGCTGAGATATCGCTCATATACTGAATCATATACAGTGGCCCCACTCACCTCTTTCCATTTTTGGAAACAGTCCCTTATATAGATTAACTTCAGTATATTACTCGTGAATAAGCAATCGAAAGCTCAGAATGTCCCCCTAGTGGCATTCTCAGCCATTTAGTAGTGTTAAGACACCATCTCATTCTTTCAAACCAAGATTTCAAGAAGGTAGGCTTTGTCTTTAGTCTGCGCAAAATTTCATATATTTTTAGACAGAAATACAGTTTAGTTACTAAGCTTAATAAATTATAGTGGAATTCTATGGTATCAATATAGTAATTTGTGATTTTTTGGTTATTCAACTGCATATATAAAACCTAAAAAAAGTTATTTTGTTTCACATCCTCCACGTGTGAAATTTTAATAACTGAAATAATAAAACACATCCAAGACAGGTCACTTTGTAAACACTAAAAGTCAGTTTTATATTATTGGATACGGTAACATGAGTGCATGTGTGCCTCGTTATTGTAACTTCTGTACTGTTAGCCAAACACAGGTGAAAAGTCAATATAATAAAAATAATAAATGTATAATGTTATGAGATCTAACTTATTTAGTCTAAACACCTACATTTTTGTGTTATAATCTGTTGTCATTCTAGAATAAAACAGGCATAATTTATATTTATTTCCTAATTTTTTATGTTGTTTGCGAGATCAGTCAAATCTACCGAACCTGTACAGAGATTCGTTAGAGAAAATAACAGATAAAATATAAAGTTTTTTCTTAAGAAATGTTTGATAACTATCTGGAGATTATAAATATTTGAAAATTTTCTGATGCATAAAAGTATTTTTAATCTTAAAATTAAAATTACTTTGCATGTGAAAAGAAAAAAAGAGACGAGAAAAAAAGTGCCTAACAAACCTTAAGACTTAATGAAAAAAAACTTGATATCTTGCATATGAAAGCATTGTAATGTTTACTGATAATTTGCAAATTTCGTTTACATACACTTACTAATTTAAAAGTTATAGCATGAAAACAAACACAAAATGGTTACAAGGTCAGTCCCAGGCACCGAGCCCGTGTTGAAAAAAAAAAAATAGAGTTAAAAATTATTCTAAACAGTAAAAAATATGTCTATGTCTCTTCAACAAAACATTGTTTTTGTTCTGACCTGTTGCTTCTGCAGTATGATGTTCACACTGGTGAGATCCTGACCTGTCTCAGCTGTCAAAACTTGATTTTCTAAATCTGTAATCCAACCATCTATATCATCACATGTTTGTTCATAAAGCACTTGTCTGTTGGCATCAAACAATTTTTCACCCTTTTCTTTTGTGGTCCTCCCTAAGGTTTCAAATTGCTGAGCTAGCTCCTCAAGACGAGGTTCAATGATATCTTTCATGTCTGGTTTTTCAACAATAAGTGCTTGGCCAGCCTACATCAAATACAAAATTATAATAACTGTAATCAGATATATGCAGCCACTTAAGCTACCTCCATTCAGTGAATTATCTCTAAATTAATAAATCAGTGGGTACATAAAACAAGATTATTATTACAATATTACATACTTTACTCAAAATTTGGATAAACAATTTCTTCAAATATTTATTTACATTTTTTCTTTGTTTTCTTTAGTCCTTTTATTTTACTAGAGCTTATTTTTTTAATTTTCAATTTTATCAAATATTGAGCAACTGTTTTTGTATGCTGGCTTTTCTCAGTGCATTCATTTTGTAGTATACTTAAATGTTAATAATTTTAAAAATTCCAAGTCAATACATGATTAAATATTACAAACTAATGGGTTGACTTACAGAAAGATTAATTTTACTTTCTGTAAAAACTCTTATTTTAGTGCCTTTGGTGAGAATAAATGAGAGTAGCATATTTCCATGATATTCTGTTACCCACGGCTTCTACCAAATTTGAAGATAATTATTAGCTGCCTTCTATTACTTCTACAGCATTAGCTTAGAAGTTGGTACAAAAACAGACAAAATGTGAATGAGGATATCTAACACAAGAAATGAGCATAAGTAATGTTTATGTATTCTAAAAGGCTATTATAAATGGCATTAATATCATTTATATTTCCTTTTTAAAAATTAAGTCAAATATTATTTTTTAAGAAATCAAGCATCTAATTTATCACCTCTTCTAACTTTTCAAGCTGTGGTTTGTTGGAAGCAACTTCAGCTTCAAAAGCTTGATGTCTAGTCCACTTGCTGTGAACAGTTTTTGCACTTCTGTAAGTTTCATCTTGGGCAGTGATGAATTTTTCTTGCATCCAATTGGAAAACTATGAAACAAACATACAATTAATGAATCATAAAGAAAATACAAAAGATTACATGGCAGGTCTTTAAAACTTATCTTTAAGTTCTTGATTACAAAACAGCTAAATATATTTTGCACTGCAGCAACAAGATAAATGGTGTGATTTGAATTTCATGTAAAGCTAATAAAGAGCTATCTGCACTAGCCATCCTTAATTTAGCAGTGATAAACTAAAGGGAAGGCAGCTAGTCAACACCATCCACCACCAACTCTTGGACTTCTCTTTTACCAACATATAATGGGATTGAACATCATATTATAACAAACTCAAAGTTGAAAAGGTGAGCATGTTTGGTGATGAAGAACAAGATAAAAAGAAATTTACTGCATATACATTTATGTACTGTTATTCTAGTTTCAATTATATAAATCACAAATTCTCTTCAATAAGATATCTTAGAAAAACAATGTTAATGTACTAGTTTTATTAGTTCAACAATAACTACAATTATTTTCTATGAAATGTTTATTATTAAATTGTAAAAAAATTTAGGAAAACCTGTTTTTGTAATTCATCAAACATGCACTAGCTTCAAACTTACTTCATCACAGTCCTGTAAGAACTGATTGAGTTCTAGTTGGTCTTTCAATTTATCCATCTGTTTCGAGGCTCGTTGGTGATTAGCATTACGTCTGTTAAAACATTATGTTAATGAAATTTAAGATCTACTCTTAATTACATTCTTACAAAACAGTTTATAACAAACAATAATGATTTCAAACATATTTTACACTAGGTAACATTTTAAGTAAAAAATAGTTGTTTCAAACTATTAACCATAAAAGTTACTGTTACAAAAATTGGACCACAGATATTTTTTTAGGTATTAAATCCCAGATTTTTAGATCTTTCATTAATGAAAAATATGAAATACATGTCATAAAACAAAAATCTCCAAACAAAGCAACCTCAACCACCATATCTATCTTATTAAATTATACAAAAATAATGCATCATGTTTTGATTTCCTTTATTTTTCTAATCTTTAAAATATATCATGAAAGGGAATTATGTAATTTCATACAAAATTTTATTAATACATCTGCTTCAGATGGCATTTTGCATATATTTACAAAAAAATTTTTTATGACCAACAATGATATTCTATATTGCCAAAACAAATAAAAAAATGCCAAATAAAGAATCTCAGTTCACTTTTACATATAATTGTCTATGATTGCATTAACAGTGCACTAAAATACATTTTAAAGAATTGAAAATGTTAGTAACTTTGAATTCTTACTCTTTCTGTCTATTGTCTTGAGACTAAAATTTGGGGTAGTTTTGAAATAACTAACACAAAATGCACTTTTGAAAGGTTAAGTTAAAAACATTTAGAAGATTGTTTTTTGTGGTACTGTTACAGACATTAATAATACACTTGGTGATTAAATATTTATCAAAATAAATTTATATCAAGAATTTTAAATTTTGAAAATGAATTATATTGCAAATGATAAATATAGAAATTACAAGATAAAAAAGTTTATAAGCATCTTTAAGAAATATATTAATCTAAATCTAACTTCTCACCTCTCATTTATATTTTCTGCTTTTTTATGTATTTTGTCAGCTGCAACGTGGCCTTCATCACACAATTTTTCTGCAAATTGGACAACAGCGCTAATTTTCTCATCATTTGCTTCCATAGTGGTAAGGAAAGCCTCATGACGCTTTATAAAATTTTCTGCTTGTTCCAAGTTAGCCTACATGAAACACAAGTGTTTGTAATATATGCATGTACCTTGTTAAACTAAACAAAAGTAAAACTTACAGAATCACATGCTAAAACTACAATGATTAATTCAACAATAGCAATCTAATATGAAGTACAACTAATATTAGTTAACAAATAAAGTACAGTCAACGGAACAGCTGTGATGAGAATATTATCTACTATTAGTTATAAGGTACAGACAACCTTATGTTCACTTATCAAGACAAGAAATTCATGGATTTTTTCACAACTCTTTAAGAATCAACAACCAAACTTCGAAAACCTAAGACAAGAAACATGCTGACATAACATTTCTGATACTAATTTCAGATGGACCAATACGATGAAGAATACTGATATAGCAGATAGTAAAAACCTGACTGGATACCAGTTAATATAAAATACTTAATTCAAAGGATTTTGCTCAATCAATACATGCACCCATCACTGTGTGCTTTTTTTTTTCAAGCTATGTTTAACACTGAACAAAGGGTGTAACAATATATATTTTTTATAAAGATGACTATGCTCAGCCTTATCAGCAATGTCAATCAAGCTCAGGAGTTTAACAAGTTATAAAAGAAATTAATTGCTTTTGGCAAAAAAACAACAGATGAACAGAATGAAAAAATTGGGATAAGAAAGTATTTTTACTCCAAGTAAAATTATTTCTTGAATTTTCTGATATTTTATTTACATTTTTATCACAGGAATGTCACAACAAATAATGTAAACTTTAAAATAAAAGAATAGTTTATGACAATGCAAAAAGAATAATTCTTATACACAAACATTCACATAAAAGTATATACTAGTATATGAAGTTATGTATTAGACAGAAAAATGAAATTCTAGGAATGGAAGAACACTGAAATACACTTATGATATTTTGCTAAACAGGAATTGAAGTAATTTCTAACTTTCTTTCCTTCTCTTAACAAGTTAAGTTTATATTTTTCATATATTTAGGCAAGGGTGTGCAAAATATATTGCTTTATACTCAGAACAACTAGAACTCAGCATTGGACAACTAGCTTCCATGAATAAAGTTTATGCTTTGGACATGAAGTCTCTGTTAACTCCACATATAAGATTCTATTTTACAAAATATATATGTATTTCACAAGCATCTGATATTAACAGAATAAGAATTATCAGCAATATGTTTCTAAAATGCAGCTACAGTTATACAACAACACCTCGGTGATTTGAAAGTAGAGTTGATAAATCTAAACACAGATTTATATCAATATATATGATAATGCCCAATACATACATAAATATTAACCTAAAGTATTAAACAATAAAAATAAGCTAGGATATTTTCAGTAACTATAATGACAAACAGTTTCTTAAATTAAAATGATAAAAAGATAAAAATAAATGGTACCATTGTGTGTAACAGTGGTAGTATGATTGAATTTTTTCTCCCATTTTCTTCTATAGCAACAGGTGGTGTTAGTTTTCACAAATCACCATTAGCAAGGAAGATCAAAGAGTCAACTTTCATATCTATTATGTTATTATAAAGTATAGTTTCACACCAGATATTTCTGTAGTCATTAATCGCTCTTTCAGCAACAAAAATGTGTCTTAAGTCATAATAAAGTTTACAGTTCAAACTGTAACTTGAGATTAACAACTGTTACAAGATGATTAAAAGGGTAGTGTTTACAGACTTTAGTTTTATAATTATATATAATTTATAATTTTAAAAGGATTTTGCAAAAGTATGACAGTAAAATGTGTGCTTTGAAAGATCTTTTATATATTCTGAGGACCCATACATGAAAGCGATGGTAAACATTATATATGTTAACAATACTACATCTACTATCTCCAGTGAAGATAAGTCATAGTGTTTTTAGTAGTTTTCATGCAGTACCTCAGCAATGCAATATTCTTCAAATACTACATAAATATAAGTTCACTGTAGTGAGTGAAAGAAAACTAAAATTAGCATCTATATAATAGTCAAATGTCTGTCTGTCATCCTCTGTATCTACTAAATTGTTAATCTTGTATCCATCTTTTTTATATCAAAATCCTTCTTTTTGAGAGTACATTACAGGAAAGTTGTTTATTTTGTTTTGCAATTCCTAAAATTTCATGCTGATATCAACACTGTTCCATCAGTCTTGTTATGTGCTGAACAGTTAATCTGAAAAAAAAAACTTATGAAGAACGAAACTATGTCTCTTTGTGAGAGAATTTCAGAAAAAGAAAACGGAACTTTCTCTATCAACATATTGAAGAAATATTTTGAAGATGGGAGCATGAAAGGAAATAATGCATAAAGAGAGAAAAGTGTTTAAGTATATATTTGTTGTAGTTCAATATATATAAATATATATTAGCATGTTTTTTCATTATTATACACATGCATGATTTTATTGTACCATGTCTGAAATATTGATTTGAACTAAATATTTCCCCTTTGACACTTCTTACAGAAATGACAACTGTAAAAAAGCATTAACTTCAGTAGCAGTCTATTCATGTGCTCAGTAAAATGATAAGGAACAGTGGCATCCAGCAAAAAAAAATCCCTATGGCAACTTAGCAAACCTGAGTGCTCTACTGTGCTGGAAGCACCCAATGTATCAAAACCCAAACATTTTTGCCAACAATACTTTGTAGTCAGTGTCCTTTGCTTAAAAATAAATGCAATTTTCCTTATTGTTAAAACAAATGGAATGACAAAAGATGGTTGAAACGACCCACTAGACAACCATATTGCATATTCCCTATGATCCAAGACATTGTGTTGACTGCACATTTTTTATTTATTCATCAATTACCATTGAATTGTTTCAATGGGTATCTGCTAATATAATATATAGTTCATTAATATAAAAGGCCTAGTAACAGGTAGAAAAACAATGATTAAATCATTGTTTATCCACCTATTATCATATTAGCATAATGTGCTTCCTAACTCGAGCTAGTGTTAATTTTTTCTCTATTTGCCTTTGTCCAACATTACAGATGAGGAGTAGAATTCCCTGAAATTGGTACAATTCAGTGACAAGTGATAAATCAAATAATAGATTGGGCTTCATATTTATTCTTAGTATTTTCAAGGTCTTTTATTTTAAAAGAGGTAATTTAAATTGTTCAAGATTTTCAAGCAACCAAATAAATTGTGCTTAATAAATGATTGAAGTGCAAAAAACATTAGTTAAGATGTATTAACATAGTAAATTATAACCAATGTCAATTATTCTACCCCTAGCACACATTCTTCACTGTGATTGGCCAAGAGTACGTCACGTGGTATGAAACAGATGAACTGTTACCTTAAAAAGCTGGTCTACAAATCACATCAATGTTTCCAAGATCATTGCTATGCATGAGTGGCATCACGGTAGAAGTTTGAAGATGAAGGTTTTTTGCAAAACAGTGAAAACACACTAACTAATTTAGGCCTAATTTCAAACACACTGCAGAAGTTTGCATGTCAATTTTTTTGGAAAGCTGTAAAAATACATTGACTAATTTAGGCCTAATTTCAAACAATTTGGTCAAACTAATAAAATGAATGTGAATATATCATTTGGCACAAGATTTCATTTACTCACAGATGAGAAGTTGCAGACTCTCACTGCAGAAAAAGAAGACAGTAAGAGTACTAAAAAAATAATCAAAAGAGCTATAAGAGTATATGAAGAATACTGCACTGCATGGAGGGAGACTGTAGAAGACAATGCCAGAAATCTCACCAGCAAATTTTATGCTGAAGTTGAACAGGTAAGTACTTTACACTTTTATTGTAATTTGTAAACACATGAAGGTGTAGTCCTTTTTGTGATCTGATCTTAAGTGATAAATTTATTGAAGCAGTGTGGCCCAATCCTCAATTAAGTCAATTATTTCTCGAATAAGTATTATAATCATCTACAAAATGAGTATAACCTCTTTATAACCAAGTTACCAGTAGTAAAATGTATAAATGACCAGACCCTACATATTGAAATTGCATATATTGAGAAATGAAGCATTGTTTAATTACATTAATAATAATATGGATAAGTCTTACTGATTTATTCCTGATTTTTAAAACGAGAACAAAATATTCCATGAAATGGGAAACTAAGACCAACATATAGACCCACAGATATAGGTTAAATATATTATTTGACAGCCCTAATTAATCAAATTTTAGTAGAATTAAAAACAGAACAGGGGGTATAATGATACAATTACTGACTGGCAATTGTGGCCCACAGCTTATTTCTTGCCCTCGTAACCAATCAATAATTGTTACATATTATATACAACTCAGTAAATCTTAGTGATGTAAAAAGTAACCATTAAGTTATTTATGATATAAAAATTTCTATTTAATATGCAAAGCAAAGTCAAGATTTCCTAAGATGTGAAAAGAAACAACCATTATTGATAGTGTAAAAAAAATACTTTAACCCTTTCTGAGTCACATGGATACCAAAAGCACCCAGCTAGCCTTTTATATACCCACAGTGAAAATACATAACCAAATTGCATTAAATTTGGTATAAACCTTTTACACAGTATGAAATGTTTGAAAAAGAAAGTAATTTCAAATCTTCTGAAATTAGTCTGAAAAATGATAATAATTCCTCATGTCTGATCTTAATATTTTGTTATATGCATCAGAAAGTTAAATTTTATATATCTAATCAGTTTTATTTTTTCTATATTCATTAAACTATTTATTTTGCTGATTGAAGCAGTCAACTTCCTTCTACAAATCATATAAACATGGAATGATTAAAAATATTTACAAGTCACCAATAACTACACCTTTCAAAATGGCTTCAATGTTAACTTTATCAGGTGTGTCATTGTATGACATTTTGAAAACAATATTTATGGTTAAGATCAATGTACATGTAATAATTATAAAATTCTTGTATTTGTGTATGTTCTTTGAATAAATATAACTTAACAACATATTCATTAAAAAATAAGTTGTGTTATCTGAATAGTTTGCCATCACAGGCATGGCCTACTGTTCTCACTAGACCTACATATCCTTATCTGATAGCTTCTCATATAAACAATTTCCTTTAGCTTTCCAAAGATTATGCAAAAAACATTAAAAATTATTTTTTAAAAATCGGGCTTCTAAATGTTAATTATATGCTTAAAAATTTTGTCTTCTGGCTGTTTCATTACTATTAACTATACTAGCTTCAAAACTTCCAAATGTGTGATTAATTTTAATTTATAAACAGCATTGCTGTACTCTCAACAACAGAGCATTAAATTCCAAGATCTCTTCTTTATTATGGCCCTTTTCCAAGTTAAGAACCATTCAATGGTCTCCAGAACTCTATGGGCAGTATAATAAATGAGTTCAACCAATATAATTGCAATTGAACAAGTAGAAGACTTAGAAACACAAAATAAGCATCAAGCTAATCGAAAATGGAAAAATTTAATTAAGAGCTAGAAAAAAAAAATCGAGAAGTGTGATGGTTAAAGAACTAAATTGTTTAATTTGAAGTGATCCGAGTGACCTTTCAGTCTGGAAAGGGTTAATTATACTGACACTTGAGTCAATCAGATGTTCAGTTCTTACTGCCAACAAACTACAATCTTCATTTTAACTTTAAGAAGACAAATAATAATCATAATATTAAACAAAATGCAAGTTATGTTACTTTTTTTATATAGGAACAACAGAATTTACACAAACTTATCAAATATTCATCCAGCTGTTCTTTAATTACTCTAAAAAATACTTATATAATTTTATTTTGAGGAAATAAGAAATTACACTGGTAAAAAACAAAAAAACAACACTTACAGGACTTTCATCCTTTGAAAGATAGTGTTCTTGTTGGTTGAGAAGAACTTCTGCTTGTTTTGCATCCCTCAGGAACAACTGGAGGTTCAGATTCTGTGACAGAAGCTGAAGCCTGTTCTCCCACATCTGAAGCAACTCAGTCCAACCATCCTGAAGAGCTCGCAAACGCTAAGAGAAGCCAAGTAAAATTTGTAATTACCTTATCAGATACCCTCAAGCATGGTATTTCTAACTTTGTTTATCACAAATATTGTAATGAGTTTATATTTTTAAATTATTAGACTACTGAAATAGTTTACTACTAGTGATTCTCAATATAAACAGCAGCATACCACCAAAATTTTAGTTAAAATGCTATAAATATCAAACAATCATATTTTAAGAAAGGTAGCTGGGTGAAACAAGTCTGAATAATGAGTAACTTAATTTTCAATGTTTCTCACCTCACGAAGGAACATGTACTGTGGATCAGTTTGATCTTTTGTGACTTGATCTCCATACTCTATCATTTGGTTAAAATCATCTGTGTAATTATTAATTTCTTCTTTTATCTGTTGGTGATGACTAAGAAGAGACTCTGCCTCAGCAAGACTAGAGGGTATATCTTCAGAAGCCACATCTGTTTGGGTCTTGGTCAACCAAGTTTGGAAGTAGTCAAGGTCACGCAAGAAACGATGAAGATCTCCTGCTTCCTCCAGTTTAGAATCTCGATCCCTGAGCTATAGTGTTTATAAATTTGAACTTTAAGTCATTTAAAAATAACAATTATTTTTGAACTAATATATATTCCTATTTCTTTCAAAAGAAAAGTCTGTAAAGGAAGTCATATTCTCTTTTATAAAGTAATGTCAATTATGATAAAGCCTACTTAGAAACAAGCTTTATTTGTTAAGCAAGCAAACTATTGATTTTTCTCAAATAAACAAGTTTAAGGTTTTAAAAAATCTGATCACTGAAATACAGAAGAATTAGTCACTGCCAAAAAAACTATGAATAAAAATTTACAAGTTTTACTAGCTTGTGTTTGTTTTTTTGTATATGTTATGAAAAGAAATGTAAAATTACAAGAAAAATATTGTAAAATATAGAGCAAAGTTACAATTAAAACTTCACTGAGCATAAACTGCTAAGAAAATAAAAAATAAGTTGTAGAACAGAATGAAAGTTGCCTTCTAATTCATTGGCAAATACCCACAACATACATTCAAATACAAACATGTTCAAATATAAAAGAAATTAATATCTGTATCACCGACAAACTGTTTGACAGCCTAATATAGTTTATCTCAGAGAAGAATATAGTACCTTCAATTTTAATTTCAGTCTTTAAATGTGGGCTCAAGCATTAACTCAAAATATAAAGCTGTAAAAAATATTAATGCATCTAAAGAAACAGTGTGATTTATGCCATTTAATAGTTAACAAATATTAAAATTTATTCAGCAGTTACCTAGAAGAAAATATTTTAGACATTAGATATGTAAGTATATGCAGCTGTACATGAAGTTGAGTATTCCACAATGTATTAATTTTATCAATATCTACAATTAGGCTTCAGTCTCACACATATGTTTCAAAGTCTGTAAGATTATTGTTAATTTTAAATAAAGGACATAATATCACAAACATTACTGATGTTTCAACAAAAGAATAAGAGAATTGCATACCAGATGAGTCAGCTGTTCCCAGACATTCTTAATTTGTGCAATTCTTCCACGTATGATCTCGGCTTCCTGTGAAATATTTTACATTTGTTAATACAAACATATAAATGAAACATTTTCTTAAGTTATCTACTTATACTCCTTTCTTTTTACTGTACACTGGCTTTTTCAGATTAATTCATTTGTAGTTCTTAAGTTCACTGAGTCATTAAATAGTGGCATAACAAAAAGAAGATACAATATACTGATCATGTGTAGAAATCATATAAACCAAAATTTATCTACAACAGCAATTTACAGAAACTAACACTAACTGTTACTAACAGTCATTGATATAGCATATAGTTCAATATCCATGAAAAACGCTAAATGGCAAACATATAATTCAACAAATTAACTATATATTACATTTCAGAAGTAAATCTGAAACATTAACCTTATGTACACAAATGGAGGTCAAAATGCACAAGTCATGACATTTTACACAGTGCCATTCAACATGGTTATATGTATGTGATGTTGTATTTGTTTATGTTATAAACTATTTATTTTACACTACATTACTCATTTAGAGATAGTCTGCATTAGAGAAATGTTGTTTGTTATAAAGCACATGCCCACTAAGGGTATTGAAACCAGTTTCTAGCAGTATAAATCTGCAGACATGCTGCTATGCCACTGGGGGGCAGGGAAGAGGAAAGTAAATATCAGATACAATATACTGGGATACTGAGAAAAACTGTAGATATGCATATCAAAGGTTCTAGAGGCTATTCAAATACAATATACAAATTATATGATGGTCAAAAGTATCTTTATTCTTCATATGAACTCCACCTTACACTCTTGACTTTTCAGAGCTGGATTTAGACTTGGGTCATCAATTCACATACATATCTTAAGTACTAATACCTTTGTAACTCATTTAATTTTTTGTGTACAATAGACTTGCCCATTTTACTATAAGCTTCTCAATTTGACCCTGAAGAAGAAAGGTCCATGTTTCGAAAGGGCTTGAGTTATAGGGTTTTTATTCATTTCTATTTAGAATAATAGTCAATATTCCTTCTCCAGTACAGGGTTTGTCCAGTGAATGAGCCTGTGCACATTGGGTTAAGTATATACAGTATTATAAAATCACCTATGCTCTATATTTGCTGAGTAAACAAGAAATTCTCAAAATGGTATCTAGAGGCAAAGTTTGTTTGTTTATGAAAAACACATTTGGTTTCATCAAATGATTGGTACTACAAAGCAACATCAAGTTAATCTGAAACTGAATATCATAATATAGCTATTACTACAATCTAAAATAATTTTAACTAAAACTTGTTTATTAAAATCATATCTTGGTCTTGTTTTTGGTGTACTTGAGCACAGAAATGTATTTTACAAATTTTTTCTACTTTGAATCTATCAAACTATTTTTTGATTAAAAAGTAAATGACTGCAAAAGGAAGATAAAGAATTAAGATCTACTAACCCTCTCTGCAAGGGCATCCTTTACTGCACATGTCACAAGGGTTATAGTGGCTTACATTCAAAATTTAATTAAACTACTTTTTGTTTATGTTACACCAATTAGTATAGCATAAAATCATAGCTAAAATTCCATATTTTAATAGTATAAAAGTTTTAATTCTTAATTTTATAAGGCAATATTTAAAAAAAATCCAGAATTTCCCCTAGTGTGAGAAATGTGATATTTTTCCTCTAGGCATCCTCTCTTCTCTTGGAGTATCTCATGGGTAATGTAATTCAATAGCATAACATGAGCTGCATGTTCCCCAAGTGATTTACAATTTATGATGGCATGAATAGTAGTAAGACATGGTTCAAAGAGCAATAAAACAATAAAATTTAAGTATAAATAGATGTATGCTGTTACAAGTTTAAAGCTACTTAGTATAAACAAATGTAGTTTCAAATGTAGAAAAAAAAGGGTAATTTAGATTTATTTAGATTTTTTTTAGGATTACCAGGTGGTTCAACTTAAAGGTAGGGTAGAGAAAATAACAGATAAAATATAAAGTTTTACGGAAAAAAAATGTATTTGGAGGTTTTAGAGATTATTCAAATGAAATTTCTGATTTTTGAGATGTAAAAGTATTTTTAATCTTAATGTGAAAAATCACTTTGCACTCGGACTAGCAAAAATAAAAGACTCAATATATTCATGGACAAATCTTTTTTTTGGTTTATTAAAAATACTTCACTAAAAAATCCGATTTTTTGTATGTAAGGCTTGTAATGTTTACTGAAAGTCTACCAAATTTTGTAAATAAATACATAGTATATTAAAAGTAAGTAGTGTCAAAACTATAATGACTTTAAACGAGTATGAAGTGATCATGTGGTCAGTCAAATCGACTAAGCCTGTGTAGTTAACAAAGTGTTATTGTAGCAATTCATTAAAGTATTACTACAATATACAAGCACACATTCCAACATAATAATTTCCTACCTCTGGTTGTTCTTTTTCAATTTTTTCTGCTTCTTGTTCTAAAGAGTCAAGCTAAGAAAAAAAAAAGATTAATGTGCTTATTAAGAAGCTTACAATTTGTCAAACATATCCAATAGTAAAATGTTTTAAAGTAAAAGTTTTTGTTTAAGTGGCTGTATAGTTTAATATTTTGGAGAGCCTGTGTACCGAGTTAAATGTTAAGTTTATTGTAAATGAAATGAAAATAATTTAAAGCTTATAAGCCTGGCATAATATGTAGTAATTTTAAAAGTAGATTTGTATACAGAACTAGAAAAAATTTAGTCATAGCCTAGTAATGTCCCCAATTCTCTAAAAAAAAACATTAAAAATTTGAGCAGCTTTGAGAGAAATCTAACAAAATATGGGTGCCCATGTGCAAGGAGTATGTCATTCAATTTTTTTTTTGGAAATCTTCATAAAAACTACATTAAAGACCAATCATTCCTCATCTATTTATCATGTACAAAACTTAATTTTTAGAAACGTGGCATTGTGGGTATACTTGGGGCAACAAAAAAATTGTCTTTAAATAAGATATATTTGCATAATATCTGTATTATCATATGTTAAAAACCTGCATCTAAACCTACAAGGCATACATTAATAATAGCATACAGAATGTTGGGATTAGGACAAACGTGCCAAGAGATCCCAGATTATGCCTCGTGACATGCAAGCTACCTCTTTGAGGGACTGGCTTCTTCCAACCACCCCTTTGAATCTGGGCCTGGCTATTTTACAAATGTCATGATTTTTACAGTGTTCTGTTCAAAATTTAATTAAACAACTTTAGGAACACACATCAACAAACCTGACATAAAAATATAGTTCATAACTCAAATTTGTATATTATCCAAGCTTTAACTTCTGAATTTTAGAATTTAACATAAAAAATTTTATATCTTCATTTTCTGCCTTGTGACACTTTTGAGCTCCAATTTCTCCATTTCAGAAGTTTCTAACATCAAAAATAGCCTACTTATGTTTCCAACAAAATTAGAAACACAAACTATGCATAATTACAGCCAAGAATCTAAAACTTGAACTTAAACCTTCTTGATTTATTAAGATACCAATAAATTTGTCAAACCCTCCAGAGAAGCCCTTTCCATCTCCCAGACTTTCAATATTGTTTGTTAATTAACTTTACATGGTTGTTGGATATGTTTATGACCAATAAAAAGAGCAAACTCTTCAAGTCATTGTTTAGTTTTCCAGTCATAAACTGTTAGTCAGAGGAACTGCTTGGTTTGTGGTGATCACATTTTGCTGCTCCAAACACTAAAGGAATTTTTAAACCTATTTTTAGCTTACTTATAAAGCCAGATAAATTATAATAGTTTTGAGACATTATATCCTACTGACTGATATATCTTCTGTGTTCTAAAATGCATATTTGAAAGCTACACAAAATGTTTTTTGGATGCTTAAATTTGTGAGACTCGTTGATTCTTAAGGAAAAAACACCTTCACTTTTTACTGTAGTGCAAACAAGTTCAAGTACACAGTAAATACTATAAATCCTTGTTTTTATGTATATATTTTATTTATTGTTATGTATTTTTAACAAAAGTAACTAAAATGTATAAAATTAGAAACTTCTTATCTTAGCATAACAAAACTCCAGCACATGTGTAACATAACACCTCACAATCAGGTGCTGTTTACTTTAGTTCTAAGGGAAACAGTTAGTGGGCTCCCACTATGACTTATTACTGTAACAAGAAAAAAATATTTTAACCTTAACAGGAAAATCACCTTACACTCAAGACTAGTCAATACTCTGGCTCCATACATTCACAGACAAATATTTAGTAAAAAATACTTACTTAAAAATCTGATTTTTACGTACAAATCACCTGCTACATTTACTAAAAGCTTGCCAAATTTTGTGAAGATACACACATCATATTAAAAGTTAAAGTATCGATAATTTCTTGGTTATCTGGTAGTTACAAAATCGATTAAAATGACAGAGCCCATATAGAAAGAGTTAACAGACTGTTAATCTTGACTCTGTGCAATGTGTCAAAGAACATTCTTGACAGTTAAGCTTCCATATACAGCATAGTCTTCATGAATATTTATATCATATATTCATTACCCACATGTTCCCTCCTTCCAGAACATGCACAATGAAGATGAAATGGAAGACAGTCAAAACCTTTCAAACAGAAGAGAACCATACACTTTGGCCCAAACAGGGTAAATTAACCAATGTCTCTAATGACAGGATCAAATGGAAGCTGTATCTACTGGTTTTCTCACTAATCTCGTAGTTTTATATTGTTCTGTTGCATACTGTGACTTATATTGTTACCCCAATGCTACCACTTACATACATGCACACTTTTTTACATTCCACCTCAACTTTCTCTCAAACACTGAGGAGTAAAAACAGCTAAAACCACTGACAATTCATGATTCTCATTTTAACTAACATAAAGCATTTCAAAAAATTTTAATCTGCAGTAATAACAACCACTATAAACAATATCAACCTCAATAATAACATTTTTGCAATATTAACCCTTGACCAATAAGCACATACCACATACATTCAGCCTTGATTAATAAAAACTCACATCTAGGTTGTACCCTTTCACAATGAATTTTACTGACAGAGAACATGTTAAATGCTTGATGTATTAATATTTAACAAAATGTAAAATTTTAAATATTACAAATGAATTGAGAAGCAAATACAAAAAGTTCCATGTCCTGCTTAAAATCAAGCTCACCTTAGCTTGTATAGCTGCCAGGTCTCTTTCCATACCACTTAATCGTCTTTGTAAGGTCATGATGCCAGTCAAATCATTGCCCAATTCCTCTGTAGCTTGCAGTATCTTGGTCTTCTCTTCAATCCATGTCTAAAACATGATACAAGCTCACAATTTCAATACACAAAAAAATTCTTTTTTGTGATAACGTTTGAACACTTGCAATAAAGAAATAAGCAATTCTGTGCTGCTATTTTTTATTCTGTAAAATGGTCAACTACTACTAAATCTACTTATGATTATTATTAAAAATTCTTTAATAACTACCTGAATATATGCAAAGATAAACATTTCAAATACATGACAATAAGATGGATGAATCACTCAACAGAACATAAAAACTCAGATCTCTGCATTTAAAAAGCAAGTTCATTAATCAAATTCTACACAGTATATAAAATACCAGTTAAGCTTTGTTTTATTGAGTCATTACTTTACATTAATAACCATAAGACTTCTCTGACAGTAGTTATTAAAGAACTACCAGAGAAATAAAATGTTTAATGATGAATGTATTGGAATTTTGTTTTTAACATTTAGTGAAACGTAAACAAAATTAAATGTATTTTTTGAGTTTTCCATTTTTAGAGAACATATGGTCTTTTTAAGGCCATAAGAAGTGAATTTAACACTAACTTTTTCTTTTAACAAATAAATCTTTTAGTATTTTTATAGTTATTACATCAAAGTGAATCATATACTCTTCTGAAGTCCTAAATTAACAATTTTTTTTGTTTTAAAAGAATGATACATACACAAAAGCTTTTAGTCATTTTTTCCTAAAAGAAGTTACATATACAAATTATGAAAAAAAAAACCACTAAAAAATGTGTTTAATTTTCCAAATAAGCTATAATGAAAGTTATTTACAGTTGTTTCTCTGCATTCAATGTGAAAAGTTTGTACACCATGTGCAAAATTAATTTCCTCACGTTTTCCTTCAGCTAATTCACGAAGAGCTGCCCATCTAAAAACGAATAGTGAAAAGATCCATCTTATATATATATACAAATTTTTTTTAACAATTATTTTTTTTTACTTCTAACACCACAATTTAGGATTACCTAAATCCCCAACTTCACTATTTTCAATGTTACACTCAATGTAAACTCTTAAATTCATAAATGAATTTTACAACTAGGTCCATTAAACATTCAGTATAATCAGGATCTATGATAGGAGAAGATGGGAATACTGCATCAACATTAAATAAATAAAAGGAGATATTATTTTTCAACTCATTTTTACAGAAAAGCTCCAGATAAAAATTAAAAATGAAGCATTTTTAATATCATAAGCATATCAAACATTTCATTCTTGTAAAATATTATTGATAAATAATTTAAGTGTATCAAAAAATATAAATAATTAACAATTTAGCAAATCAAAATTAAAATCTTGTAGATATAGAGAAATTTAACCCATGTGAAAATATTTCTAACTTCAGAATCACGTAAACATAAATCTTACATTTGAATAGATATGGATTCAATGAAACTATATAAACATAGGAAATCATGATTAATATGTTCCAGAATTATGTTTGAAACAATTCTCCAAATTCTGACTTTCAATCCATTATCTAAAAAACTTTAGGATGAGATGATTTGCTAATAATTGAAAACTTTGTCTTTGTAAATGTGGTAAGGAACTTCATACAGAGCACATATAATATATTTACAGAAAGGTCTACAAATTGGTTTAATAACTAACTTTGTAAAAAATAATATTTTATTAACATGCAAAAATAGGTAAGAATTATCATGAAATCTGATTTGTTGCAATTTGTATTTATATTTTTTCAAGATTTTTGAGAATTTACTATTTTTTGAAAATTTTAAATACAAATTTTGTTATATGAAGTGTTTAACCAGTTGAATAATTCCATGATTAAATTGAACTCGTAGGTTTTTTTTTTTTATCACTAGTCTACCTAAATATATTCAATTAGTCAATAAAATTACTACTACTACTAATATTAAAAAATATTTTATGTCAGTCATATATTTGCCAATGACTACAGCAGCATCATATCTGACTGATATATCAATATCCAAGTTATATCAATTCCTGAAACTAACAACTGAGTAATACTACTATCTAATTTCAACAGATATATATATATATACATACTTCTTTATCATAAAAGCTAATTATTTCCTAATATTCACAAATTTCTACTGCAAGTATTTACCTTTCATTAAGACGGTTCTGTCGAGATAGAATCTCATCAGAATTAGGATGTTCAACATGGAGTAGCTGTCTAGCCAGTTGGTTTACCACTGCCACTCGTGATGCATTAGTGTTCATCTCTTGTTCAAAACCTTCAAACCGATGTTTCATGACTTCAATGTCTTCCATGTCCTGACTCATAACCATTGTGTGGAGCATTTTTTCCTTTATACGTATAAATGTTTTATTAATTATTTTCTAAAAGCAAACTTACATTTTTTTACTAAAAATTTAATCTTTTATTACCTTAACAACAGTTACAGTTTCTCTGTTTTAGTAACTATATTCCACTATTTTTTTTACATTTTGTCCACTGTATTGATAAGGAAAGGCACATTATCAAATACAAGTCATGAAGTCCTGTTTCATTATTAAAGTCAGAACACAGATTGTTCAGAAAGATTCTAAAAGTATATATAACTTTGAAGACACACACCTGTAGATAAAATTCAAAAGTAACTGATTAAATAACTAGCATTTCATCTGTGTGCAGATAACATTATGCACTAAAGACAATGCTTTTTATCATCAAGACAATCCTTATTGAAACTTTCTATAAAAAAAACACAATATGTCTTTAAAGATGTCTTTCAAGAGTTCTTTAATAAAACAGTTATCAGTCTTATCTTTTATATTCTAACCTTTTCATCTATCCATTGTTCAACTCCATCAGCTTCATTAAAAAGTTTGTAAAGAGAAAGAGCATCTAGAAGACGTTGTTTACGCAGTCTTGCAAGTTCTAGAAGATCCTTGTACCTACGATCAATACTTGCCAGGCGCTCCAAAACTTCTGGAGCCTCTCGATCCTATGACATAAAACAATTATAAGCAGTACTCATGAATAACAACATGAGTTATATTTTATAACAACAAATGTTATGTTTAATTTTCCATTTTCTCTACTATATCATTAGCTGTTTATTATCATAAAAATACAATGCAATGTTTAAAATTAACAAATGGAAATATGTAAATACTTTTCAAATCTTTGTAAAACTTCACTAGAATAGTCTTCTTTTTCTCATATGCATAATTACACATCTTTATCTTTCATATATAGCTTATTTTTAATTTTCCTTTCAAATTCTTTGTCTTTTATTGTTTATGCAGATACCCAACTGATGCCCATAAGGCTTTATGAAGTCTTTGTCGGCAAACTCTGCAGAGACTCATTTGTTAAAACAAGATGGTGCTTGTACACGCCCTGTGTTTATAAGCTTTCACAATCCTGATGGCAAGAAGCTAACTTATAAAAACCACCTAACCTTTCTAATATGATGTTTAAAACACAAATAATACATAATTAACTAAAATATAAAAGTAAGACCTAAATACAATTTAACTGTCTTTCTAACTATAGCATATTTAGGTAAGAAACCATCATAAGTGCTATAGTCGATTAAGCAGACACCAATACTACAAGCAGTTACATCTACTTCAATATGAAAACTGCATGCCAATTTCAAATTAACCATTGGTGGAGTATAGTGTAAACTCAGCTCTTTCTAATGACTATATATACTTGTGTCAAGTAACTAAGTGTATGTTGTAATTCTCACAGCAAATTATAGAAGGTAGGTGTGGCATCCATCAAGGGTTGGCAAAAGTTATTTCTGTTTCCCTGTGAATACAGCTGTAAGACTTTGTATCTTATGTGTCAAAAGGTCACCGAGATCTACATTATCATCTAAGACAGTGGTTTTCAACGTGGGCCATATGCCACCCCCACCCCCCAGGGGAAATGCCATGTTTCTAAGGGGCCACACATGAATGACAGAAAATTAGGGGGCCACAGTAAATTCTGAGTGGGCCATCAAAACTTCACTGCCCAAATAATATATATTTCAAATATTTCAAAAATATGTAACCTCCTTGATGTTGTGAAGAGAGGTGATCATTGCTTATCACTG